AAAAAACTATTCTGCGCCTCACAGTTAAAACGAAAAAAATATACACCATGAAAAACGTAAAAGACGAGAATGGCAAATAAACATCAAAAAGACGGAAATAATACTTGGATGAGTTAACACACACTAAGATGGTCCATAATGTTTCACTTTTTTTTTGCTTGTTTGCAGATCGCCGAATTGATGATTACTTGTTCATTATAATAATGTGTGTGCTTTTATATGTATATGTTCTTCTTTGAGGATGTCTGAGTTACCTGAAACAAGAATTCCGAAAGTATGATGATACATGTTTTATTGGATTAGTTATTTTTATGTAATGTGAGCTAAAACTGGTATTTTACATGATCTTGGGGACTTCCAGTTTTGTGTTATCTTAGTGTAGTTATTCAATTTGTCAAGAACTGTTTGACAATCATTTATTGGTATGATTTTACAGAAGTTCTTAGTAATTTAAGAATTCTACTGCGCAAAGTGATTAACTTGAAATTTCCAAGACACTGTTTTAACCACAACCTTGTTATCTCTTGCGAATTTGGAAGTAGTGGTTAGATGTGTAAAATAATTTTTGCGTTGTTAATAATTGCATTCTTACTTAGTTCTCTGAGGTAGTATTTTATTTAGAACATTGTTTTCTGATGTTATTAATACATTATTGTTTTGAATAGATTTCTCGTTGTTTGGATTTCTTAAAAAACAGCATTTTAACACCACTGACTTACTGTAACCGCCAAGATGCCAATACAATAAATAATCGGATGCAACCCTGAAGAAGAATAGAAAATAGTTCTCAAAAAGCATGGAATAAATAAAATTAAATAATGGTGTTCCCTTTAAGAAATCGGTCATCACATTATTAGTGTTATTAATAGCATTATGTAAAATATTATTTGTTTTTATAACATGAAATTTTTATGACATGTACTACAGCTGTTGTTATTACTATGTAAACTCAACAACATTAATGTTTTAGTACATTTAATTGAGAACTCAGAACATTAAAGTTTTATAATTGTCACCATACAATGTGAACTGTTATTCCAACGTGAATTCCAGTGTGCATAGTTGTTTTCGTGTTATATTCACTGTCGCTGTTTGAAATAATCATTTATTATTTTTCAGGTTTCGATTGAACATTTGCACGACTTTGTCAAAATTAAAAACAGAAGTTTGCCAAAGAAATTATTTTTACCAGAACAAAAACAATATGCAATAATTGTTGACTTTGTTAAAGCAGTTTCATTGAAAAGAGAGTATATTTTGGCTCTGTTCTTCTTGAAATATGTTTTATAAAAAAAAAACTCTTTCGGGAAGAATGTATGGAATTATGAAAATATTTGTTCTTGGATTGTCATCAACTCATCGTGTGTTTACTGTTATTAGAGGCGGTCGGGATTGAATCATCTCCTATTACGAGAAACATAGCCTAATCCAGTGCCGTACCGTGAATTATTTTGCTAAAATTAGTTATTAGTGTAAAGTATGTATTTCCTACTAATGGTCTTGAATTTTCGTGTGTAACTCTGCCGTTTTGGGGTCGACACATCTTTTAATAAGAAAAATCCTCTTTCTACTTACGTTTGCACTACTAAATAAACGGCTGATAATGTTGATCTATGATATTCCTGTGTCTTCTGAGATAAATTGCTGTAATATGTAAGGGTCAAGATCTTTTCCAAAAATTGAGCCAATTTTTTGTGTTAACTGAGTACCAAACTCATCAAAAATGTTTTTTAACTTCTTTATGATAATTAGAGAGCGGATTTCTGTCGGGCTAGGCAAGGCCAAACTCAGTACGGCTCGTACGGGATGGGAATTCATTGCAGTTACGGGCTGCACTTCGTTTATTTGAGATTAGAATAACGTTGTTTCGTTGCACTCTGCTGTTAATTCCCGTTCTCATTTACTTAGCCGTTTGATTATTAAATCGTTAATTGTATTTATGGAATAAGTGACGATTAAATTTAGTGATTATATCTATCACCCGCTACTGAGTCCCGGCGATCCAGCGCGTCCCCACCTATAATCGTGACGTAGCCCGACAGAAATCCGCTGTCTAATGATAATACTGTTTACTTTTGTCATCGCTTCGGTTGAAGACAGATTTTGGAAACTATTTCTAAAATACTAAACAAAAACAAAGAAAATTTTTGAAAAACATCTTTGCGCTGTCTATAATTCAAGGAGCGTCGTTGTTTTTTAAAATAAACACAACAGTCTGTTGTAAGTATAACGAAATATAACTCTCCTTAGAATCACCATTTTGTAGGTAGATTCATGCATCTTTGTGTCTTTGTGAACTAACTTGTTTTGTCATATAATATTTTTGGAGACAAAATAATATTTCCATCACACATATTACATTGGATAAGATGATTGTGAATAAAAGGAAAAGTATCACCAAACTACGGATACTTTAATAATATAGGAGTAACTAATTTAAAGTATGTTCAATATTAACAGAAGCTAAGAAAGAAAAAATGAACTTAAACACTAAGGACTAGAAAGTAAAAATTAGAAAATCCTGTGACAAAAAAGAAGAAAGGAAAAAAGAATGAAAAAAGAGAAAAAGAAAGAAAAAATCAGACTTCAAAGACGAAGCAACAGTGTTTGAAATTGCAGTTATCAAAGTAAATATCACATGCACAATTTAAGTTGTTAACTAGAATAGACATTAGATTGGTGACCTAACTAAGACATTGGTGCTTCTACAGCTGCAATAAAGTATATTCGAATTTCTTGAGTTTAAATGAGAAACTAGAAAGTTTAGTTTATGCAGAAGATACGAAAAATCCATCTGAAAGTTGACCAAATTATAAAAAACGAAATATGCTGACAACACGCTTAGTATGGAGCGTGATAAGACTGAATCCAGTTAACAGACTAGTGATCAAAGTCCCAAGGAGGATAAGCAGCATCAGTTAAATATATATGATATGAACTTCAGATACTTTCTCTGTAGTGTTTTCAACTCTTTCACGTGAATGTTGTAAAGGGAATACCAAATAATTAAACCATAAGTTTTATTTATGATTTAGCTAAGATGTCTAATATGTGTATGATATGCGAAATAAAATTTCTTGTCAAATATAATACCAAAACTTTTGAACGAATCAACACGATTTACGCGTACCACCACCCAAGAGATAATAATGCCGATACAATTCTTTTTTCCTTGTGAAAAACATTCAATAACTGATCTAAAGCGTTTTGTAAAGCTATGCCCTCATTAGTTGATTTTATTTCGATGAAGAGTTTCATGTCATCAGCAATGAATTTTGTCAGCTGTATCGTTAATAAATAAAACGAACAAAAGTGGACCTAGGTCAGATCCTTGGGGCACACCGGAAGTAGGAGAAAAATTTGATATGTGAAAATTGCAGCATCTAACAAACTGGACTCTGTTAAATATGTAGGATTCAAAGAGTGATAACAGCGACTGAGTGAAACCTCAGTTATGGAGCTTGTTTAAGAGAATATGTATAGTGGTCAATTTGGTCAAGGTTTTTTGAAAATTGATATAAACTACGTTCACTTGGCTTTTTTGATCAAATGCTTCAGAAAACTGAAGCAGCCAAATTTGTGATGGTAGATCGTTTTTCAACAAAACCGTGCTGTTCAGGGGATATCAAACTTTTAACGCGGTAATAAATACGCTTGTATATTGTGGAATCTAAGATTTTGAAAAAATTGCAAAGCAGCGCAATAGTTCTATATAGTTTTGAATTCATTTTGGACCACCTTTTTGAAAGACACGAGTGATGCTAGTCTTTTTACACATACCTGGAAACTAAGAATTTTTTTATAATCAAGTAGTGAACAGGTTTAACAAAGGTATAAGCAGAATCCTTCAAAACGAAACTTTCAATACCATCGATGCAAGCTGTGATTTGGATCGTTTTAAAGCGTACAAAATTTCTTCATCAGTTAAAGATGCATGGGAAATTAGAGTACTGGAGAGACTGGTAGTTACCAATTGATTCTCACTGGGATCGGACAAAATATTTGTGGAGCTAAAAACATCGTTGAAAGCATTGATAATTTCATATGGAGTAGACTAATCGGTGTCTCTGTAATTAATTTCTGTAGGAATTTTCGGATTTCCTTTTTTATTACGAATAAATGCCCAAAGTTTTTTTGATCTGTTGATACAGAGTTTTGAAGTATGAATTATGGAATGTTTGTAGGCCGATTTAATTTGACTTTTGCAAAGTGACCGTAATGTTTAAACTGGTTGAGAAAATCGTTCGTTTTAAAACGTTTGCATTTTTTGTAATGATATAATTTTAACTTTAAATTATTTATTATCTGGTGACTGAACCATGGAGGATGTTTGCGACTGGTGTTAGAGTTGATAACGAATTTTGGAATAGCAACAGCGAAGGTATTGTTACGATTTACGGGTATTTAAAATTGGCATCTGTAATACAAATTTAAACGACTAAGAACAGCGATTATGTACAAAATATGTAATTTCAAATAATAAACCGTCGTACCCTTCTTTTATTTATTCGAGCACCACCGTCACCGATGATGAGTCACCACCGCTCATCGTCGCACATACGGCACATGGGTTTATTTCGTAGCATTATCACTCAAATTACCATAAAAAGATCATGCATCATTGACATCTTTAAAATTATCCAGAGACCAGTCTATAGAAGAATGTAGTTCGTACTGTAACGGATAGTTGGCTTTTATAAAGTTAAACTGTTGTGCATTAGCATTAATAAATTGATAAATAGTTAAAGTGGAAAACGTCATAAACAATTCAAAAGTAACAAGGAAAAAGAGGAATTTTGGGTGTTTTTACAAAAAATTGTCAATGAATGATTGCATTGACTTTAGCTACAGCAGTTTGCACTGTGCGTAAACGATAATTGCACTTTCGTCCGTTTTCTACCTCTTCGTCGAAGTTGGCTGTGTCAGCGAGCGCGCTTTTGTTTTGGCGTCGGCAAGTTCCGGACCGTGTCGGTAGCGCTCCGGATCGCTGTCCGCTAGTTCGCTGCCTTGTCTCTGTTGCGGCGAACAGTGCGTGTGAGCTGAGTACGGTGCAGTGTCAACAACATTCTGAGATGTATGAAATAATTTTTTTTTCGAGTTGATGAGATGCTACGGAGTGTGTTGTTGTGGCATTCGGCGCGTCTCCAGTTCGTACCCCTCAGATGAGTGTGCCCTAGTGTGTGCAGTGCCTGTGTGAAGTGGTGTTAGCCAGTGTGCACGCCGGATTCCCTCAGTGGATTAATTTTACTGTCAAGTGTGCAGTGGAATAAAACGACTGCCTGCCGACCGACGCTGGTGAGTGTGAACCACACCTAAGCGTTTTCGTTTGTTTTGGTGCCATTTTCGCCTGCATCTTTGTCTTGTCCTGCCTGGAAGACGTCTTCCTTCCCGCTCTCGCCCCGTCTCCGTCTATCGCACGTCTTGCCGCTGCCGCCTGCATCTGCACGTCGGCATCGTCCGTCTCTCTCACACTCGCAGTGGAGCTGTTTGTCTCTCACTCGCTCGATCGTTTGTAAACAAGCGTCGTTCCACAGTTCGATCGCTGGGGGAAGCCATTTTGTGATTACGGCCCGAGCTTTTTTACGACGACGGTTGGGGAAAATTTGAAAATTTTGCGAGCGCTGCTGCCAACATGCGCTTTATCGCGTAATTGTTATCTCTCCTCAGTCTATTTGCGATCTCGCCCACATAAATTACCATTAATCAACTTCCACACCAGCGCATAGGTATTTTCGAACATAATAGATTAACGTATTGGATAATAAGGAACTAGATCGGAGAGATAAGAATAGTAAAAACACCACGATTACAGCGGGTTTACGTATGTGCATCGACCGTTAGCGTTATTTATTAATTGAACGAGAAAAAATTATTTATACGAGGGACCGGCATAAATATTTATGAGTTTATTTACATTAATGCTTCAACATCTGTAATAAACTCGGTTGAGTGCTCGATTTTCTTAAGGCTCTCTAATTAAGGGGCTCGTTTACATGACTTGAATTTTAACATATCGGTAATGGTATGTCGTAGACGTAATCGAATTGTAATTGGGACTTGCATTCTACAGGAAAGTACAAAATAAAGATCTAAAACAAAAATCTTTCCGATTTCAGATACTGATGATCAAGTTAAAGAAACGTTTGTTGTGACCAAGTATCTGTGTGTCTTTTCTTGTATGACTTCTTAAAAGATGATAAGATGATAAATGAGCAATTCGTTTAATTATTCTTGAATTTTGAAAGCTGTTGGTTAAAAGCGGAGTAAAAAAATTGTTAAAGGATTCTATGGAAAGTAACAGATCAATCTCAACAGATTAGGTGCTCTTGGTGGTCTTTGTATATTTGACACACCTGGTGCACTGATTGTTACGCCAGTGACACCGAGTCATGCATAAAATGAGATTAATTGAATTTAATGTGTTCCGTTGGTGCCGAGATAGGAAATTGGAAGACTTGTTGACATCGTCAGGCATGATACATTATTCATACTTATTAAGTATTAATTTATTAATTGATTACTTTTAATAAAAAAGTTAGAAAGTTATCAAAGTAGTTTCAGTAACGAAGGTTTCATTGCCGTAGCATTTCAGATTGAGTTAAAAGAATTGGCCGAATGTTGGTGGACATAATTTTCCTCGCCTCTGAAACACATACAGTACAACATATTTTATAAAATTTCAGTAGCAGTTGCCATGCAAAATTTTGGTGTGACGACATCAAATCGTTGGTGGGAATGATTAAACAAGTTGGTTCGCGTTTTACTGTCTACACGGTATTCCTAACATACAACTAAAATTTTATAATAATCAGATTCGGTCGTTTTGGACATTATCTGTCTTATAAAAATCGACCTATCGGACAGACGGAAACGGGAGACCTATAAGTACTATTTTTGGTCTGTTGACTGTAATATATTAAGTCTGTAAATATTATGCGATTCTGATGTAATTTATAGTCTGTGTTTTCAAGAAAAGGTGATGGAGTGTACATGTAATAGGGAACAATTTTGGATTAAACTTAGAATTGTTATTTTTTTTAAAGATCTTGTCTGCGTTTTCATGTCTAGCTTTGTATTTAGTTTGTTCCAGGACGCTATAGAAAAAAATGATATGTTGAATCGGTTTACATTTTACAAAGATGACAACAGTCATTTCTTACTTTTGGATCTTTGATGATGTTTTCAGTAATTCTATATGTCCATATAATCGCAAAGAAAACACCTTTTGATTCCGGATACATACTAGATTTTTACTTTCTGAGCGTAAGCTCAAGAATTATAGTAACTGGTACGTCGGGAGACTTGCTACTTTCATGTTTTCTCCTTTCGTTCGACGTTTCATGATCCTTAGATTACGAAAAAATTGTTCCCCCGTTGTCGTCTGTCTGTGTGGATTTTTATTAGACAGATAATCTCCGAAACCGACCGATTGTGTCAAATTTTAACATGCATATTTGTACTTATATCATGTAGATAGTAAAACGTTAACAAAATTTGGCTAATCATTCCCACCATCAATGGGATGACGTCATCTCTAAGATTTGTAATAGCAAATTTGTTTTTCATTTTTTAAAGTAAGATACTCCTGCACGTGTTGATTTTTCAGCCTAGACATCCAGATTTTTGGCAAAAATCAAAATTTTATAACAGCATTTTGCAATTTAACTTTGAAACAGCAATACCCAATGCTTTGAAATCTTGCAGATGTTTTAAGGTTATCGTTAATCATGGTAAATTGATAATCAAAAGTTATTCGTTTATTCCACTCCTCCAAAAAATTGATGACGTCATCTCAAAATTTTGCCGAATAAATCCTCTCTGAAATATGCAAAATATTATAGCTCATAATTGCATCAATGTACTGATAGTTTTTAAAAATATTTATACAGGGTGACTCAAAAAAATAATAAATGACGCAAATTATTTTCCCGACAATTTGGCAATATAGTATGTACTATTATTATTAGTACTACACTGCCTCTATCCAAATTGATATACGTGTCCTTGCAAGAATGCAATTTTGTAATGGAGAAACTTGAATTATAGCAGGCTTTTTTACATTTCCTTTAACCCTATAAACATATCGTTATTTTAACTTAAAGGAGTTTTCGTAAAAAACAAAATTCGCAAAATCAAATTTTAAAATTTTTCGAAAAAACTTGATATGTTTTATTGTACTTAACAGGCGAGGGAAGTTCTGTCGAAATAACGTTCAACCAATTTTTTTACTTAAATTAATGACATCTTGTTAACATGATATGAAGAATTTTCCGTGTAGTTGCTTTTGTCTTGGTTCATTAGTTATGTGGTCTAGTGTGTGAGGGGTGCATTTTTTCGGCATTAAATTCGTTTCGTTCTGATGAAACATTTCTTCAGTTCTGAAACTTACTCTGATGTACGTATAAATAAATTTTCCAAATTGAAGTTATTTTTGAAACCTCTGTTAAAAAAATTGCTTTACAATTTTGTTTCGACCAAAATCAGAAGACGCAAGGTAATTAACGTAGTTGAGAGCTGTCTGTTTTTATCCTGAAAACTTTTACTCAGTTTAATAAAGAATACTGTGTTACCAACTTTGTTATATTAAATCGGCCTACAAAGTCTTTTGCAAAGTATGTAATTCTAGGTCTTTACACTGTGTGGCACTGTAAAAATTAAATATTGTTATATAAACGTAAAGAAATCATTTTGAACTAAACTAATTTAATCACAAAAAAAAATTATATGCTAGAAAAAAATTGTTTCAAACCGCCGTTGTCAACGTAACAAGTGAGTAAAGTTTTGTGGGAAATTCTGTCAATAATAAAAACAGTGTTTAAACTTTCTCGTGCGGTAAAATGTAATTTCGCTCACTAGCCACACAGATGTTATTTTCTGCAGTTGATGTACATATAGAGTAGAACATACCGGGTAGTAATTCGTTTTTAATGCATGGGACATTTAGGTGCACGTAAATTTAAATAAGTGACAGTTTTCTTATCTGATGATTGTATAGCAAAGTCGTAATGGGAGAAGTTGTAGAGTCTCCAAAAAAGTTTTTCAAAAGTACTCTTACCATTCTTCTACCAGAAAATATTGAAAAAACATGTATTGTAAATTGTTTTTCTTTTATAATAAAGTGGATTTCAACAGACTAGGTATGAAAAATCAATTATTTTGCTTATGCAAAGTTATTGTGCAGTCACATGTGCTTTATTATTAAAAAACATATTTAATCATATTTTGCAGAAAGATTTTTGAGCATACATTTTTTAGTTAACATCTGTGGCGATATTTTCAGACTCTAGCTACAAACTTTTCAAAAATTTGAACAAACTACAAACGTATCATGTTCATTATTTCAAAACTGGAAGTATACTGTTTATTTCAACATATAGAATAGGATATTCCCTCTTGTGTAAGGTTAATTTAAACCGGCTTTAAATGTACTAGTTAGTCATTTTTATTTTTGGTAGTTGTCGTGACTAGAAAAAATGCAGTATAATGAGATTTTAGAACGATATCGGTATTTTACGTGACGATATATGTAGATACGGTGTGTCGAATCTGCTTCGATCGATCACTCCATTTCTAATTTTTACAAACTCAAAATACTCCTACGAACACTTAAGGACTAGAACCCTTGATAATGTTGTTAGTCAAGGATATAATTATCAAACGTCATAAAATCAATCGAAATTAAATTGTTCAGATTCCTATCCAGTATGCATTCGTTTTTTTTTTAAAGTTGCATGTGTGGAATTTGTTTTTTTAAATATATCTATTTGTGCTTGATATTAAATCAGCCTTTCTGCATTGTTAAAATTTTATTAGTAGTGATTTATGCACGAATATTGGTATATTTCCACAAATGTTTATTTTAATGCAACTAACAAATCAAGCTATAAACAGGTAATTTTAATTATTTAATTATCGAATTGTGCTTTAGGTGCTTTTGTCACGGGTTAATTAAAATTTTATATTTATATTAATATTTATTTCACTTTTGATAGTCGCAATTGAAAAAATAAAACAACACTGGAGGAAAGTCCAGTGCTGTTTTATTTATTTTGAAAAATTTGGAAAAGTGGAAGTAATTTTTGGAAAATTTTAATTCAGCTCAGAAGTTGACTTATTTTATTAAAAAATGAAATTTATAAATAAATTTAAATTTTATGAAAAAGGTGGAAACAAACTCAAAACTTGTTACTGTAGTAGTACCTTTTTTTCATTTTGACAATGATTTTATTCATCTATGTAACCTAGTAAATTTCTGCTAACCATAGCAGTGCAAACAGCATGAGACGTTATTACGA